CATTTAAAATAACATTAAAAAAATTTATTGCTTATTAAGCGGCTAGTGACATAAATTTAAATGTTATTAGTGGTACATAAAGAAAAAACATTACATCTGGAAAAATAAAAATAAGAAAACAATTATAATAATAATATTAATAATTAAAACTATGAACAACACCGGTAAGGTGGAAACCATAGTTGCTCGTGAGAAAGACGTTGGTCCCGCAACGAAATATGAATGGCAACGAAATACGGTAAAGCGATCTGTTGGCGAATTAAGATGACGATAAAAGTTTGCTTTCTCCCTATTTTTTTTTCTTTTTTTTTTGCCTTAAATTTTTTTTGCTTTTTGTTTGTTTGTTTGTTTAACTTTGATGATTTTTCTTAACCTTCTTTTTTAAAGAGGAAGCTAAAGATGCCTTATAAAAGAAAAAACATTTTACAGCTGTGAAATAATATTCATAATTTTCTTCTTCTCTTTTTCCTTTTTTTTCAAAACCAACCAAAAAACCAACAACATCATTTGCAGTTTAAGTTTGTTTTCATTTTCTCTCTCCATAGTCCTCTAATTCAATTTAAAATATTCGTTATGTTCGTCAGTTTTTTCTTTATTATCTGACCTTTGTTAAGTTTCCTCCAAGCAACTCGATTTGGCTTATACTGCAATCATCTGCTGTTTGGTCAGCAGTTTGGTTCGGAAAAAAAAGCAGGTAAGAAATAAAGAGATCGTCTAACGAAACTGTGAGAAAACGTGTAAAAACTCCACTTTTTGGACATTACGGGGAAAACAATGGATATAGAACGGGAAGAATATTGTCCATCCAGAGCGAAGTGAAGAACTTCGGGAAAAATAACAATACTCCAGGTGCTGGTTCAAAACGGGTAGTTGATTTTGACATTTTTCTTCGTTTAACAGATGAAAAACTGTAGGAAAAAAAAGAGGAAAAATATAAAAGTCTAAGATTTATAGTAAAGAGAGAAAAAGTGTCAAAGAAAGCATTTGGACAAGACAAATATCTTAGTGACAGTATCAGAAAATACTAAGACAAGGAATGCTTCAGTCTAAATTAAAAAGTTGTTAAAAAGCAACAAAGCACTATGTTGATCGAGAGGAAACATTTTGCTTCCTTTAATTTTTGAGAGGCGGATAGATAAGATTCTGTAGCATCTGTTAATTCCTTTCCTGTTTCCTTTTCAGTTTTAACTGTAATCATGATTGGATGGATTTGACAACGCTGTTCCATCAAAAACAAAAAAAGAAAAGAAAAAAAAAGAAGAGAAACCCAGGAGTTTCTACTTATAGTTGAGCATCTGATTCGGAAAATGTTGATCCTGTACTGACGTTGTTGTTGAACTTTGTTGAGTTGCATAACACTGAATTTTCTCCAACGGCGTTATCATATTAAACCTAAAATTAAACATCTGGAATATTGGCAGAATAAATTTTGATTAATTATTACTCTATTGACAGTGTGACAAAGATTTTCATAATGTATGTGGAAATTTAAGTATATATTACTAGAACTGAACAAGGTTTGCAAGGAAGAATTAAAAAATCTTCTTCTACCCGGTAGGTCTCGGTGTATCCGTTTTGAAGGCATCGTTGAAGAAGAACTGTCGAGACGAACCCATAGATAAGTTAAATGCAGCCATATTGCGCTGGAACGCTGACTGTCGCTCGTTAACCATCATTGAGTTCGCCGCTGCTGCGTTCGGATAAGAACAATTTGCCGTCGTAGAACTGCTAGCTGAGGAGTTCGTGGCTGCGGTTAATACGGACGCTGAAATAATTGCATTGACATATTTGAACTACATAACAATTTATCTTGATACTTTTCGGTACTGTTGACTATTAAATTACACTGTGTTCTTCCACTTTTAACAAATATTCTTTTCACGTTTTCTTGTTTAGGACTTTGTTAAATAACAAATGTACTACATTTATTTTAATTCAGCCAATCATGGAAAACTGCAACGTCACTGATGCATACAACAATACGTCCAGTTTAACCAAAATCATGTTCCACCATTTGACTAAATATGCACAAAAAAATTTGCTAGAATGTATGCGCTATCGAAAACTGAAGTGACTCAATCTGCATGTGATACCAACAAGATGGAGTACGATTTCAACTTGTGCCACAGTCAATTTGCATCACTTAATGACCGTAACTGTGCCGTGTAGCCTAGCTGATGTGATGAATTCAAGTAGGTGTCGGAAAGTAAAAAAGTAAACCTTTCCTTACAGTATGCCAAACAAATTAAAAAATTTAGACTTTCTGTAACTGCAAACCCAAACTGAAAACAGTTAATAACAAAAAACAATGTAGAAAATTCAGCTTGTAGTGTTCTAAATAGTTTTCAGTAACCTCTGTTACAAACTTTAATTTAATCCCTTTAAAATATTCTTCAGTGTGAAATTCAAACTCAACTTGCAGTTACGAACAGAACTATTGAACACTTCAAAAAAAGAAACTGACTTTACACAAAAAACCAAAATAACTTACTAAAGTCTAACTGAGACTGCGTAACTGTGGCTAAATCTGGAATTGCGTGCGCCGGCATTGAAGTTGTACCCGAATGGTCCGCTCTCCATCCTAAACCTTCTAGACCTTCTACAAAATTGGTCCTGAAAATCAATTGCCACTTAGAAACGAATATCAGTAGAAGCCTCATCAAAATATAAAAGGAAGGCTAGCACTAAAAGATTGTTTGTCACATCAGTTACTAGACAACTGATAAACTAAAAACTATTCGAAACAAAACAGCTGCCTATAAAGCAATTAACAAAAAAAAATTTGCTACAGCTTTGTTCACTATCCTTAAAACCGGTTTACCCACATCGCTCGCGGAAAAAAGTTCCTTTTTTTTTACTTCTTGTAATAACGTTAGCCTTTTTACTGTATAATATCCAACCACTAAGACTTCTGTCAAGAACCCCTTTTCTCCTGTTTCTTTCTTCATTTTTCGGCAAGTCTAACTTGCATTAGAAATGTAGAAACACCAATGTTTTATAAGAAAAACCTGACACTAACCTGTACTCCTGTTGTGTTCAGTAGTTATTTAGTCCTAGTTATAGAAATATTTATATGTTATTAATCTTTTCAATAAAAAACCTTTCCCTCTCTTTCAGGTAGAGGAATTTTACAGTAAACAAATGATATGATTTCGTAAAAAAAACGCAAAAATTTTACACTGCCAGATAATTTTTACGGAGCAACCAAAGTAAAGTGACCAAAACTTTGTGCGCACCGAGAAAACTGAAAAAATAGATTCAAAACTAGACAAAACCTACAAATTTCTTCTATCTGCGTGCTTTGTCATATGCTTTGCCAAATACGTCTGCTGAGTATATGATTTGCCACAGTAAGGACAGATGTGCACCTACAATTCAGCATATTGTTTATCAAAACTTTTATCGCAACAGTTTCAAATATAGTAACAATGAAAATGCCACTGGGAATTTGCATACAGAGTAATTATATAAGGCAGCTGCTGAAGCAGCTAACACAGTACCTTCAGATGCTTCGATTCCTTATGCTTTGGAATATGCTCTAAAAGTGCTTGCTCGTCCGTAAAACACTTATAGCAGCTGAAAGTTTAAAAAATGTTGAGGTTAAAAATTAGACATGTTGAACAAAACGGTTGAAACTTTTTAAAAAGTCAACTTTTCTAGCCGGCGCCTTAACCAGCAATGTAAAACAAAATGAAAGAAATGTGAAGGGGCAACGTTATAAAAGTTAAAAAAAA